ATAACACTACTCATACATACATACAAAGCTTTCCTGAATGTGGAGAGCTTGACTAAAGATTTAGAAAGAAAGCAGAGGAGCTTACAATGTCGTATAAACATCTTTAATTGTAACAGCAGGCACCACCATTCTTCTTTTTTGTTGTTGTTGTTAATCCTCACCTGAGGATATTTTCCCCCCATTGATTTTTAGAGAGAGAGAAGGGTCATTGATTGGTTGCCTCCTGCATGTGCCCTGATCAGGTCCAGGGACGGAACCTGTAACCCAGGTACGTGCCCTTGACAGGAATCAAACCCACGACCCATTGTGCATATGCTGAGGCTCTAACCCACATCAGCCAGGGCAAGCACCACCATTGTGGGAGAATTTCAATGGCCCTTGTACACATGGATCCAGTCTCAAATTGCTCATTCATTTCTCCTTTTCTTCTTCTTTTGTTCTCCCCACTTTTATCAAGAGCATTTTTTTCTCTTTGTATCACGATGGAAAGCAGTAGTGACATTTCATTGCCTGGGTTCCTCCTGCCCATTAGGCCTCACCCTTCATCAAGTGCATATTTTTCCAGACAAAGATGGTTCTCTCCCCTAGAAGTCAGTCTGATTCTTTCCACCTCGACTTCTTTGTATAAATATTAAAGGAGAAAACTATGTAAACCCTTTGCCCAGAGCTTGGAACATTCATTTCCATTCTCAAAGATGTAAAGCACAGTACTAAGCACTATGGAGGTTACAAAGATGAACAGAAGTTATAGAACTAACTATAAACAAGGTGGAATATGATAAAGGCTCTAAGAGATCAACAGATATCTTCTGTTGACACGCCCACAAAATCGCCTTTGTGCTTATGTATCAGGTCCGTGACCTCAGGATGACCAAGTAGTTTGCCTGGCGACTTTGCACCACCCGGCCATGTCTACAGCTCCTCACACACACGCTCCAGTGCCCTTTCTTGCCAGAGGTGTGAAACTACATCTCCCGACAAGCCGTGTCCTCTCCTTGCTTCCTCCCTCACCCGGTCTCGAGCCATGGCAACCGCGTGACGTGTGGGTACAGGGAGCTGCGGGAACAGCGGTCGCGGCTTCAGTTCTAGCTCACTCCGCCGCCCGGGCGGGAGCAAGGCGAGAGGAGCCGCTGCCCCGCGCCACCCCCGCGCTCCCTGAACCAGCGGGGCGCCCGCTCCCCCTGGAGTGAGGAGGACGCAGCAGGCGTCAGAGCCGAGGCCTAGGGAGGGTCGCGCGC